ATAAAGTGCTATATGTAGGTTCATTGTAAAGTATTCACAGTCACACAGAGCCAAAGCACAATCAAAACAATGTTCTTCCGCAAAATTCATGTAGTTTGGTTTTTTAACCGCTAGAGGGCCAAAATGGCCTTTAAACATTACTGTAGTAAAATATGTAAATCTATAACATTAAGTTTGCTTTGACTAAAAATGTTTTGTAATTACCTGGAACATTGATGGATATTTCAAAGTGCTTTCCGTAATTTTGACAGACAACAAATAACTATATTTCATGATTAGTTCACTGGAATGTACTAAGAGTCTCTCTTTTTCCCAAATTCTTACTCACATGGTACTTTAATACATAGATTAAAGGAAATAGTTGTCTATTTCCATGCTTTAGAAACATTCCAGTACACACTGCCAATATGCTAAAAAGAAATAGAAGTAAGAAAGGGGAGGAAATCTATGTATTAAAGTACCATGTGAGTAAGAATTTGGGGAAAAGAGAGACTCTTAGTACATTCCAGTGAACTAATCATGAAATATAGTTAATTAAAGAAGGAGAGCAGACCATAAAAGAGCAGTGTCTGTTGTCTTAATTGTTACGATGGAAAAGAAAAGAGCTCTTGACACAGAGATATTCTTGTGATACCAATGTCACATTAAAAAACCAAGTGTTACATCATTTTCCTGACAAAATAAAATACAGCATGATGGAAAATATACAGCTAATTTAGTCTCATACTAATCATATTTAACATAGACTTATTATTTGGAATGATTTGTTTATTTATTTACCTAAAATGGAAGTGCCATCTGTATTTTAAAATGCAGTAGACTCACTTGGTCGTTATGGCAAAAGAAAAATCATTAAATAATGCTCTTAATATTGTCACGTTTTGGTTTCGTTTCATGTTCTTGTTTCATGTCTGTCATGTGATCCCCTGTTCTTGTCATGTGATCCTGCCAAGTGTTTCCCATGTGAATGTTGTCATTGGTTAATTGTCTTGATTGTTCACAGGTGTCCCTTGTCTAGTCATTAGTCTTGAGTGTATTTAAGCCTTAATGTTTGCCATGTGTTTTTGTCATGTATTGTTTGTGTAACCATTGTTGGTAAGGGTTCTAGTCTTGTCCATGTTTTGAGTTCATGTCATGCCATGGTTTTATGTTTGATCATATTTTGATTATTTGTAAATACACTGCACTTGGGTTCTTAAAACTTGTAATTAATCATTACAAATATATCTCAGATGTGTAAATGGAAATTGCACCAACTCTAAAAGTCCCCTATACTTCCACTGAAATTCCATTAGATACCATATACTATTTGTTTATGTTAGTATTCTCATATTCACACAGTCAGTGGGGAGGGTGGCTAAAGTGCTCCAAAATAATGAACCGACAAGCCTTACAGTGTACCTGAGGATAATAAAGCAGTTCCAATTATAAAGTAAAATAGCCTATCTGAGTGCAACGTGACTCATCAAACAGAAAACAGAAGAACAGTTTTAAAAAATGTAGCAAAAACAACGTCTTTATTTCACCAGACACCAGTCCAATTGCGTTGTACAGAATCTATCATAGTACAAATACAAATATATTTTCAATACCACATACGAATACCTTTGACTGTATATACTTTGTGCAAGAGAATACATTTATCATTTACACAATTGACATTTGTGCATATCATTGTCTGCATGAACATCACTATCATGATTATTACTGAACCACCATTTGATGAGAAATGATGAATACAATATTACAGTAGACTGATAATAAACACCATGGTGGGGTTTGTTCACAACATTCCCCCAGGATTCCTGAAGTCATCCTGTGTCAGCGTTTATGTAAATCCCCAGAGCACCATTTAGCCAATCACAAGTGCTTATGACACACCAAATCTAAGACATCATGATGCAGTTCAGTGTCTGTTTGGAATGGAATACTAGCACACTGCAAACTGTCAGTATATACTGTATTCTGCCTTATTTATTAAAAAACAGTATCTCGAACTCTATGCATTCTGCTCACCAAACCTTTCAAACAGTAGTATGGTTCTCCTGTGGTTACCATTCAGCAAATGGCATCCAGTTACCATTCCATAAATAAATAAGCTTATATGCAGTTTAATAGTTTGTATAAAATCAATTCACTTTTAGGAGCTTAATATTATCTAGTTCACAGAGTGCACAACTTGCCAACTTTTCAGCGGCCTTGGTTCTGGAAGTATTTTTCCCATTCACAGAAGCACTGTGAATGACACAAACTAAAAACGATGGAGCAATATCAAACTATTGATTTAAATTTGTCGATTATGTATATAGGAATATGTTTATATGTATATACATAAATGTATATACAATATATTTTACGTTTATTGCAAAATATGCATATATATACAAATATTTAAGCAGTTTGAGAGTGCAGGGAGACTGACCCTATTTGCAATGCTGCATGGGATTGTAGTTCTTTCCCTCATTAAAGTCATTAAGTACAGTCTTGTGTTGGAAACTGATTCTACATCATTCACAGTGCATCATGGGAGTCTTAAGTCTTTTTTTGGCGATTTACTTATCGTGATTCTCTGTTTGGTCAGCAGAATCATGGGTAATATAGTTGCTGATGGCAAAAGATTAACAACCTCTTACCTCACAAAATAACTTTCTTTGAAGGTTTGGAAGTCATTGTTAAAAATCAATTCTCCCATGAAGAAAATTAATTCCGGAACCCGACTGTTGCACTCTATTGCAGTTCAAGTCAAGAGCATTGTATTGTGGTATATGGTACCCTGCCATATACTGTCCACATTATACATACCAAATACTGCAGTAGGGTAGTATGCTAGTATGCTATCCCGAAGACAACCTCTGTTTGTTTACGAAATCAGCAGCAACATTTCAAGTATGAGGTAATAACAGGTCTCTAAAATAATGAGCAATGTGCTATTGTCACAAGCACTTATGAATAGACAAATGACTCTCATAGTCCCTGTAGGGATTTTTTTCTGTACATCCCATCCCTCCAAATGAGAGAGAGGCTTTGCCGCCGCAAAAAAACGAAATGAGGCAGGTAAAACAAACCATTAACAGTCCGGCTGAAACCGGGGAAACTTTGCCGTACAGGCGCGCTGATGAATCCAAGCCACGCACACTGAGAAAAAGCAAGAGAGTTTACGAGCTTCACTGCGGCAAACAGACGAACAGCTGTTGGGAAAAGCTGCCATTGAAGACTGTCATTTCAAGGGGCTCCGCAGACAGGAAACTGCCATTATGCATGATGAGGTAACCAAGAATTCATTTGAACAAGGAACAGTTCCTCTGTCCTCGGCTTAGAAAGCATGTATACTGTACAGAAGGGTCTCAGTATTTGTTTCAATCAGGAATGTACCGTGGTTTGAGTGATGACTACACACAGCAGCTGATGAGTGTGTGAATGTGTGTGTTGTTGAAGTAAAGTACCGTATTGCACGCTCATCTGAGTTCTGTTTAATGAACTAATTTCCCTTTATCGTTGCTTGGTATTAAACGCACATGACAAAGATGGCTGCGCTATGCATTTTTAATGTTATTTGCATTTCAAAGTAGCAGCATCCTGTGACGGCTCCAATATGGCAGGTGCCATTTAGAAGCAAACTGCATTACAATGCTGGGAGATTCAATCTGCAGCTCTCAGCTACACAGGGGATCTAATAAAAACAAACCCCCCAAATCTGAGATGAAATTACGTCTCTTCTGTACAAAGCCTTCAAACGCCTTCAACAGCTTGTGAGTTCTAATACATTATCCCAGCATGCTCTGGGAAAAAAGCTGACTATAAGCAAACCAACATCATTTCATTAGCGATATCATTGCAGCTTATTGTGAAGCTAGACTTTTTTTAAATGAAGGAATTATGAGTGATTTTTGTCCATTGGCAGGGCGTAGCAGTTGCTAAGGTGTTCTGGTTGGTTGCTTACAAAAAAGTCCCTCCTTCAATGTACAGTAAATTTATAGGATTTTTACTTAACGTTTGCCTGGTGAAAATCATAAGTCTAATCATTTAGAAATGTAACAGCACACCTCTCTTCAACAAGCTGCACGATTTGAGGCAACATTTCTCTGATTCAGGATAAAAAATCCTTAAAATTTCTTTCAAAATTAGGCAATGGGCTAATAAAACAGGAAGGAAGGAATTTGTTGACGTTGGTCACAAGAAATTGTGTAATACTGTCAGCTGCACGTCAGGGAAAGAATGTTTATGAGGTCATGGTGAAATTGGAAAATGTGTAGATAAACAATAGGATATGAAGTTTTCAGATGAGAAATGCAGTTCAAGTATGGTGTCGGCAACACCAAGGTCAAGGGTTTGACTCCCAGGGAACACATACTGGTAAAATGTCAACTTTAAATGTACTGTAAAATGCACTGGATAAAAGCGTTTGCTAAATGAATAAATGTATCTTATTGTTACCACACTGACTAGCTATTGCATTTCGACCACTACTGAGAACTGTGGGATATTACTAAGGCTGGGTATTGGCAGCGTCCTCGCTATACAATACATATCGTGATACATGTCGCAATTAAATATATCACAATAGTCTATGATATCAAAATTGAATTGCGATTGACACTGCACTAAAGGTGTGTGAATCGGTCAGTCTCTCTAATGAGGTTTCAGAGACTTATTTATATGACCTGTTTGAACTGTAGGAAATATGAATGCACAAAATAAATAAAAAGATTGATGCAAGATAAGAAAGTATCGAAAAATTGCGGTATTGTAGAGTCCTAAAACACATTTGATGAGAATAATGGGAAATAATACATGATTTTCTGTTAGGATGTTTTTAGCATGTCATTCTTCGTACACAATTTTCCGAAGTTAAAATCAGCTGAGGGTTACTCATTTGAACTGTGTAATGGTTCACAGCATGTGTGGTTTTCAAATATGGTGACACATCAAGTGATGCAATCAAAACCAGACTCACAAGCCTCCTGTGTATAACATCCTATGAATCACAGCCAGTGTCGGAAACAAAGGAAACAAACAAAGAAAAACAAAGGCTGCCTGCTGGGCGAGATGGAGAAAACTGTGGCCCGCGAATCAAGGTAGCTTATTTTTCTTCCTGCTTTCCACTTCACTGTGTCCCCGCTTGCATTTCGTACCAGTTCCTCCAGCGTCCCGGGACTCACTTGTAGAGGAGCTGCAGTCGTCCAGGGTGACAGTTGTTGCGGTTGATCTTGCCGTCGGGCTGGTACAGGGTGGAGGAGTTGGAAAAGGTGGGAGGGAGGGAGTGGTTGTCAGAAGCAGGAAGGGGGTATCCTGGTGGCGGGCGGAGAGATTTGGGATCATTCAGAGGAGTGGGAATGGAAGGTGAGCTGTGGTTCTGATTGGAGGAGGTGGGGCGTTTTCTGGAGCGCAGGGCCTGTCGCTCTGACAGCTGATTTCTCAGCTCTGATACACGTTCCTCTTTCTGTTGGAATGAAAACACGAAACTAAATTAGAAACTAGGCCTAAAAATATTAAACATATCTGTGCAGTTTTGAAAACCACTAAGAAAAGGAAGCTGAAAGTAAACTTGACAATCTGCCACAGCTCTCATGACATCTATTGTATCAGACAGGATAGGGCCAAATTCAGAATTTAAGAACGAGCGCCTCTTTGACGTCGGAATTTGAATTGGATTGGCCTCATGACATGACGAGGAGGATTTTACAAAAAATTCCAATTCAAAGAAATTCAACACAATCACCCAAATGGGGAATTTCATTTTAGTGTTGTTATTGTTAGCTAAAACTAAAATGAAAAACTCTTGTAAATTGAAATAAAGCTTAATTAGAATCAAATATGAATATTACATGAAAACTGAAAACATCAGATGGCAACTAAAGGTTACTAATTACACTATGTTAATTACTGCAAAAACAATAGCATCGACACTGATAGTTAGCACAAAATATCCTCCACATTGTTTTAAGATCACTTAATAAAATGAATACTGGTCAAATTTGGAATCTATTTATTATATCACTTATTGAGCGTTTACTGCTCAAAGCCGTGTACTTATATGTTAACATTTTGATGATCTCATTGAATTCTCCACCCGCAAAATCTAATTTATCACATCATTATATGTATTACCCTTTTTCAGATCTCAGGAGTGTTCAAATCCTGAGGCTGAGAATATAATTGAAAATTTTGTTCGATATTTTTACTTTTTTAGATTAAGGCAGCCGGGAATCATATTTCCTGGTTCTTAGTGGAATACATTATACTGAATTCTAAATTCTAAACAAATATAAAAAAGGCATTCTCAATTCAGTTTTGAAATATGTTCAATCCTGGTATCAGACATTCCGAACAGTGTGCTGGAAAAATTGAATGTGACAGAACCTCCTGGATGATCTTCTGCAGCTCTTTGTTCTCTCTCTCCAGCTGGCGGGATTTCTCCTCATCGTTGTTGTTTGTGGATGAGCCGGTCTTCATGGTCTCCTGCTGGTCCGACTGCCACTCACCACGAGTGATAAGCCTCCGCATCTACACCCACAAACACACACCACACTAGGTATAACAACAGACCAGATTCATGTCGACAGAATATTAATGTACTGCAAGCTGGACAACAAATACGGTCTACTACTACCTACTATTTATTAAAAATAGAGTGCAAACCGATGAGCAGCAGGCAACAATAGAAATAATAATAGTAATAAAAAATAATTAATGTAAAAAAAGAGTGAACAAATATGAGTTTGATTAAAGCTGCAGTCGGCAAGTCTGGCAGATTGAGTGGACTTAGGCAAAATTTTTAATGTTTACAACTCTCATGCCCCTCCCCCACTATCAACGGACACCCTCCCACCGAGTTCGTGCTCGTCAGTGCGTGCGCACCAGGTTATCTGTGAACGCGCCCGTCTCATCAGCATCCATCAACACCATGGAGTATTTGGAGGTATGCTGCGCTGGCTAATCTACCGATAGATTGCAATTGCTAATGTCATTTATACTCTAATGAGCTTACTTGATTTGTTAGTGTTTTGAAAGCGAGATACATCCGCCATCACTCTTCGTTACTGCGCGAACTTCCGGCGTGTGCATGTGATTGTAACGTGCGCGAGTGGTGGCGTGTGCCCGATCTGTGATTGACAGTCAGATCTCACACCCCCCTGCGCTGATTGGACCCGATGATCCGGGAGCTGTGGATTTTTGCTAAACAAATAACACGCTCCAGGTGGAGTTAGAGGCTCGGGTTTTTTTCTAAAACCACTTTATTTATGTTGTTCTGTCGGATTATAGTGTCGATTTCACTGAATATGATCAAAAAAATGTTGCCGACGGCAGCTTTAAAATGTAACTACTCGTCGAGTCATAGGGTCTTGATTATGTGTAGATCATTAGACAAGAAAATATAAAAATAAAATAATAGTATAAAAACGAGCACTGGTCTCGAGGTTTGTAATTCTGTAAATACTTAAGAGACTTTTCTTGTTTAGACCTTAAGGCCTGTTCACACCGGGACGAATTTCGCGCGTGTTATTCGCCGACGTTTAACGCCTCGTGACTAAACAAAGGGCGCCTATGCGAGTGTGCACACCGACGCGTAAAACGGCACGCGTAAAAGCATCATTTTTTAAAAAACGCCTCGGGTTCGTTTTTTTGGTTTGATGCGCCGCGTCAAAAACTATCCGACTAATGAGATTGGCGCTTTTGCTCACGTGTCTGGAGCTTCTGAAGTTACAGTAAAACACAACTTGGGGGCGCTCAAACACAAAACGGTCTTGCTGAGCACACATACGTAATGGCGATGGAAGATATACAGCGTCTACACTCTGCCGGGAAGAAATAAGACGAGGAAGATGCAAGGCTAGATGAATGTAGAGCTGCTGGTCTTGTTGGTGTCTTTATAAAGAGACACCAACGACAATAAAGAACTATATGACAAACGCGACAAACTTGCTCTCTTCTTCTGAGTGACAAGCGAGTGTCAGAAGCGTAGTTGCGCAGCGCCACTTTGTGGACCGGGGTATTTCTGTTTTACATTAAGCGCCATCTAATGTCAGGGAATGAATTTGCGTGTTCACTCGGCTCATCGTCAGCGAAAATCGCTTGGGTGTGAACACAAAAAACGCGTTGAAAAACGCTGACGAATAACGCGAGCCGATATTCGTCCCGGTGTGTACAGGCCTTTATGCAGCACTTTCAGCACTCGTTGTGTTCTTTCTTCCAGGTTTGTAATTCCACAGCATGAAGGTAAGATTTTACGGATTTATGAATGAACCGCTCATGACATCCGCTTCAAATATCACAATGCTCATTATAACTTTCGTTACTGTACAAAAAGTAAAACCACTTCACCTGCTAATTACTCTTCGACAGCGATGCCATAGAAATATACAGAGCTACCGAAAAATTCACAAAATTCTAAAGATGGCTGCACGCTTGTTTCTCTGGTGCATAAGGTCTATATAACGTGAATAAAGGGTTCCTTTATTTGTGTATATAACTGCTTCTATTGGCTGTTGTATAATTGCAGTGTCTTCACTTTTCTCTCTTTCCTGTTCTTTTGAGATGTCTAATAACACCTTTCCTCCGATGACACTGATTACACCACATCTCCATAGCATCATCATTCAGCGCGCTTTAAGATTTCATGAGAAGACTGCTGAGAGAGATCCATATGTCACACAGTAACCACTCTTTGATCACTCCTTCCTTTGCTCTAGTTATCCAGCATTAATATTCATCACTGTAATACAATATTTACATTAGCTCTCCTTCTTGTTTTGAGAAAATGATCTTCTGTTGTACCTTGGGGACGAAGAGGACAACTAGAGTTATGTAGACGGAGAAGATGATGGCCAGCGAGGCGAAGGCGAATGAGGCGTCCTGCTTAGACGATAGAATCATGGTGACAGGAGCGGTAATCATACACAACACCTGAAAGAGAGAGAAACAGTTACATATACAGGTGTTTTTTAACTATGGGCCCTCTCAGTACATTAATTGGTCTACTCTGGAAGCTTGTTTCCACCACAGAATAAAACATTTCAAAAGATATTTGCGACTTTATATCACGCAATTCTGACTTTTTAGAGATATAAACTCGCAATTGTGAGAAACAAGTCAGAATTGTGAGATAAAAAGTCGCAATTACCTTTTTTATTTTTTATTCTGTGGCGGAAACAAGCTTCCATAGTCTTCTGTCAAAGTCCAAGACAATGTTATTATCGTTCACTAAAACTACAATTCTTAAAAATAGTTTTCGTTAATGACAATAAAGCTGAAATCAAATAAAATATTACATGTTAAATATAAAAAACTACATGTGCTGTTTTGACAACTAACTTGAATAAAATAAAATAAGTTTAAATTGAAGTACTAAAATCACTACAACTAAAACTGAAATAAAAACAAATGAAAGCAAAACAGAAATATTAAAAAAAGCTAATAACAAGGATAACAAATAACAAAGCATATAACAAAATGACAAAAATGTATACTAAAATTAAAGTGAAAATATAAAAAAGCTAATTTAAATTATGAATAAACACTGTAATATAGTAATAATAACGTCTCGGTTACGGATGTAACCCTCGTTCCTCGTTCGTACTCAGGGAACGAGGGTTACATCCGTAACCGAGACGTTCCCTTCCGTTGTCACTTCGAGTTACGTCGAATGACGACGAATGGGGTTCCCAGTCCAATCACGCCACCTCGGCTGTCTTCCACGTAAGTCTGAGCTCCCTGTCGTGAGAATAGCACGGACGAAGGACTCCTACTTAGCACATGAATACCAAGGTACACTGGGAAGCATATCTCAGTGGAAATATGCATTAGTGCCTGCCCGAAGGGAGGACTTACAGAATACACATATGACCCGGAAAGGGGGGTGCATATTGGGGAACACTGGGGTGTCCAGCCCGAAGGGTGGAATATTTCAACCCCAGGGGTGGCAGAGTGGCTTGCCAAGGGAAAGACACATGCTCAGAGAGGCTTACAGTGGAAATACACATGTGGGGGTCACCCAGAGGGGGAACCATGCACATGGCGGCACCTAGCCAATCGCGAAAGCTGCCAGAGGCATAACTCTGGAGTTGACGTCAACAGCGCTGGAGGAACTCAGGGCTTGTGAGGCTTACCTGAGGAGAATATCACACGTATCCAGTCCGTGGAGTGGAATGGCGAGCAAGCGAAGACACCTGAGCGGGTCCTAGTACCGGCTGGTTGAAGCGAGTACACGAGAAGATACTGGCTCCACTCGCAGATTGTAGAATCTGGCGAATGTGTTGGGTGTCGCCCAGCCTGCAGCTCTGCAGATGTCTGTTAGCGAGGCGTCATGCGCTAGAGCCCAAGAGGAAGCCACACTCCGGGTGGAGCGTGCTGTCACACCAAAGGGGCATCGTCGACTTTGCTGCTGGTATGCCAAAGCAATGGCGTCCACTATCCAGTGAGACAGCCTTTGCTTGGAGAGAGCCTTTCCCTTCAGCTTCCCACCATAACAGGCAAAGAGCTGGTCTGAGGTCCAGAAACACTGCGTTCTGTCTACATAGGTGCGGAGAGCACGTACTGGACAGAGCAATGCCGCGCTTGCAGGTTCACCAACTGGTCCTGGAAGGGAGTGGTGGGAACCTTGGGCACATATCCAGGCCGGGGTCTCAGGATCACGTAAGAAAAGGCCAGCCCGAATTCCAGGCACGCTTCGTCTACAGAAAATGCGTGCAGGTCCTCCACCCTCTTAATGGAGGCCAATGCAACCAGGAGCGCTGTCTTAATTGACAGGAACTTAAGCTCCACTGATTGCAGAGACTCAAAAGGTGCATAAAGGACAAAAGCTTAGGCCGCGCCACAGGGGCCTATATGTATTGTAATGGTGCAAAAAGTCAAACTTTAGAGGCATGTTATCAATAACCTTTATTGGAATATAAATGTACATAAGCTTAGCTGCAGGAATCTGTGAGGGCAACGGACAAGAAAATTGGTATACTCAGGGCTGGCTTAGTAACAAATACCCTTGTATGGCTGTCTTGTCTATATACACTAAACATTAGTGCTGTCAAAATAAATGATTAATCCAAGTGATTAATCAAAAAATCAAAAATCAAAATAACTCATAATCCTGATTGATACCTTCCTGGTATGTACTATGCTCAATTATATAGCAGGGCTCTCAAGTTTTGAAGACAGGCAGCAGGAGTGACAGAATCACAATTCCAGGATATGCTTTTTTTCTTTGGTTGTTGCGTTAAATCTTACACAGATACAATAGTGCTATTTTCTGATTGGCTATTGTGTAGCCCTTTCTTTTTTTGATTGGCTGATAAGTGGCAGGCTGACTGCGGAACTCCAGGGGAGACACGCTTGATTCCTGCCGGTTCCATAGTGAGAGCGGCGCGGCCAGAGACATTTGGCGCTGCGGCATAAATATATTATAAACAGTTTTTCCGCGAGAGAAATACAAAAGACCGAAATGAGTGACCTTGATGCTCAATGCGTGACACTTGAGAGCTCTGATATAGCTAATGGCAACAATATTGCAGGTGCGATGCACCGCGTACAAACCGGAATGGTATATGTTTATACTTCTCATCCAACCACAATCAAATGCACTCTATCCGGATGGCGCGATTTATCTGGATAGTTTTTTTTTTTACGATGACAAGCAGAAATGAAAACAAGCCGAAATGAAATAGCAGTAACGAGGCTATTTTTAAAATGTAAGGAGTAGAAAGTAGCCTACAGATAATTGCGTGAAAATGTAAGGAGTAGAAGTAAAAAGTCGGCTGAAAAATAATTACTCCAGTAAAGTATAGATACCCAAAATGTGTGTTTGGACAGAATACGAGACAGAGTTCTTTATTAAATTCATAAAAGACTAAATACAGGAATACTGGCTTCTAAACCTCAAAGAAATGCCACAATCAAGACCTCGGAGCAGAAATAAATGAGAAAACACCTCACATGTGCCGCTCACAGTATAAGGGTCTTTCCTTGCCATTAATGCTTGGATAACACGCTTAGGCCTACGTCTCTTTACATTAATAATAATAATAATGTCTAGTGCGGTGGCTGTGATTTATATATAAACCAACCAACGTCCGTTGCCATGATTTTTGGAATGACTGATCGAGAGAGGAAAAAAAGATGTTTTAGTCGCATAACATCGTTTAATGGAAACGCCGTCATTTCGCAATAGTTTTTTATCGATATTTAGAAAGAAAAAAAGTGCGAATCTGTAATGGAAACGCGACAGCATTTAACATAGACTAACTTCTCAGAGTTATAGTGTTCATTATACTAACCATTCAACTCCGGATTGATTCTGGAGGAATAAGCACCGGCAACAATCCGTCCTCCAACGCAAGCTCATGTTTTGATTCAGATCGTGCTCGAAGAGGAGGGGCTATTCGCGTCTCCGTTGTCAGTTTGTGAGAGTGGGAGGGAGTGAGCAAGCTGCGCGCAGCTCTACAATAAAATAAAATTTTACCCATATTAAATAGTTAAAAAATCTGAAAATCAATCCGTGGCGGTCAGCGTTGATATTGTGGCGGGCCGCCACAAATTAATGAATGTATGGGAAACCCTGTATAGGGTGCCCCGTCCCTGAGAAAGGAGGTCCTTCCTCAGAGGAATTGACCAGGGAGGTGCTGTCGCGAGGAGTACAAGTTCGGAAAACCACGTCCGGTTGGGCCAATGAGGCGCAACCAAGATGACCTGCTCCTCGTCCTCCCTGATCTTGCACAGGGTTTGTGCAAGAAGGCTCACTGGGGGAAACGCATACTTGCGGAGGCCCCGCGGCCATCTGTGCGCCAGTGCATCCGTGCTGAGTGTGCCCTCGGTCAGGGAGTAAAACAGGTCGCAATGGGACGAGTCGTGGGAGGCAAACAGGTCCACCTGTGCGTCCTAGGGGTGACCCCGAATAGTCGAAGATTCGATGCTTCGATAGGAGGAGCCTGATTCGACTACCAATCTCACGGTCGAATCTTCGCAGATGTGTTATTAAACGAGGATTATGTCATTTTGGCTATATGAGTGCTCAATGTCTGATTTCACATAGAACTACTGGTTTTCTGTCAATACGTTAATATACAGCCTATAATGATAATGCTGTCAATAAAAATGTGCAAAGAAATAAGCTTTTAATAAATATTTTTTAACGTGCGTGCAGCGTGAATAAATCCAAACACCCCGTGACAGATTTAAGTTTCACTTTCGATCCGTGACCGACAGAGGAGCGTCTTGTCGGCAGGGATTTAAATCTTTAAAAATGTCTGGGATAAGAAAATCTAAAGATGCACACCGTCAGAAAGGATATTCTCCAAGGCTGGATTTAGCATCAGGAAAACCATGATCGCACTTCTGCCGGCCAACGTTAACAGGTTGGTTTTCCTCAGGACGTTCTAAAACGCTTAACGTGAAAAAAGCTTTTAAAACGCTTAAATGGCACTTTTACGTGCTTATGTACACAGTAGGCTACACACCTTAAGAAACCATTCTATGTGCAGATAAGCAGATGAACCCAGAATATGAACACAACGCGTTTCTCCAATAGAAAGTCACGTAAAGCTTTTTCTTTAACGGTTTTCTATGGGAGGAAAATGCTTAACGCAGCCTATAATAAAACGCGTTGCGTTCATATTCTGGGCTCATCTGCTTTTCTGTAGGCTATATAGTATGCTTTATTAATACGGTGTGTACAGAATTTGATCTTTTAATATAACAGTTTTAGGACAAAGCCATTATAAGCGTTTTTCACGTTGAGCATTTTAGAATGTATTTTATCCGCGCACACAATTTGAAAAGACTCAAACGGACACAGGCCGAGTGAAAGACTGGATTTTGTTTTCTCGATCAGGTATGGGTACAAGTGATTTCAAAACATTTCAGCCGGTTCCAATTTGATTTTTGGATACTGTGAACACGTTTAGCTAAAAAGACTG